GGGGGGGGGGTTGCCAGAGGTGCTGGCAGCCCCTCCTCCACTCCCGGACCGCCACAGGGGCAGGGCTGTGGGCCCAGGTGTCTCTGAGTGACTCTTGGCTGCGTGTGTCTTCCCTGCAGGGCGAGCTCAGCAAGGGCTTTGTGGAGGCTCTGAAGGCAGTTGTGGGGAGCTCCCATGTGTCCACCGCTGTCGCCGTCCGCGAGCAGCATGGTCACGACGAGTCCATGCACAGGTGTGGGGGCCCCTTCCCCTATCAGAGCCCCGGGCTGGGAGTGAGAGTCCCGGGCTGTCTTCTCCCCCACCCATCTGTTTTTGGGGGGGTCTGGCATTCTTTACCTCTTCTCCACACCCATCCCTCACCCACTGTGCAGCCCCAGGCCCTGTGATGCCTCTGGGCTCCTTGGATGTGAGCAGAACCAGAGGGTACCACACTCCTCGAAGTTGCTGAGCGTCTTGTTCTAGGTGCCAACCTCCAGACGCCGTGGTGTGGCCCCAGAATGTGGAGCAGGTCAGCCAGCTGGCCGCCCTGTGCTACAGCCAAGGAGTGCCCATCATCCCATTTGGCACGGGCACTGGGCTTGAGGGTGGAGTCTGTGCGGTGCAGGTATGCAGGTCCCCTCCACCCATCCCCTCCCTGGGCTCTGGCTCTCTCTCCCTTGTCACCTTGGCGGCTGCCTCCAGCCTGCCTTACCTGCAATCCCCGGGCTCTGGTCTGAGTGCCCGGAAGTCAGCCTTGAGATGGGGTCCTGTGGAAGGTGGCCTGGCCCGGGGAAGTCCGAGGTCGACTTCCCCTTGGCCTCCCTCCTGTCAGGGCGGTGTCTGCATCAACCTGACCCACATGGACAAAATCCTGGAGCTGCATCTGGAAGACTTCTCTGTGGTGGTGGAGCCAGGCGTCACCCACAAAGCTCTCAACACCCGTCTGCGGGACAGCGGCCTCTGGTTTCCTGTGGGTAGGCTGAAACTTGAAGCCCTTCCCCGGGCCCCTGAGGGCTCCCTGGTGGCGGTGCCGTTTCTAGGGTTTGAGGGGACTCTTCTGTCCCCGGGCGCCTGTCCCAGGCTGCATTCTGCCTGCACTCTGCCCTCCAGACCCAGGTGCAGATGCCTCTCTCTGTGGCATGGTGGCCACTGGGGCCTCGGGCACCAATGCCGTGCGCTATGGCACCATGCGGGAGAATGTGCTGAACCTGGAGGTGGTGCTGCCTGGCGGTGAGCTGCTTCATACCGCAGGCCTAGGCCGTCATTTCCGGTGAGCGTCTTCTACGCATGGCAATGGGGCCTCCTGGATTGGTGGGCCAGGCTTCTGAGGGGTCTGAAACTCCTGTCGCATGGGCCACGGTTGAAGGTTTCCTGCACCAATTAGGGCCGTGCAAAAGAACATCTGCCTTGCTGGCAGGCTGGGCCGGCTCCCTACCTGGCAGGGGCCTGGGGGACAGTGCTGGGCTTCCAGACCAGGCTTGGGGCTGGAAACCGATCGTCTCAGGCCCTGGCCACTCACCTACCTTGTGTGTCCCCGGGGTCCAGGAAGAGCGCAGCTGGCTACAACCTCACAGGGCTCTTTGTGGGCTCTGAGGGGACACTAGGACTCATCACAGCTGCCACTCTGCGTCTGCATCCTGCCCCTGAGGCCACAGTGGTCGCCACCTGTGCATTCCCCAGTGTCCAGGCAGCCGTGGACAGCACTGTTCACATCCTCCAGGCTGCGGTGCCCGTGGCCCGCATTGGTGAGCCGGGACTGAGCAGTCTGGGTGGGCTCCCTGGAAGAGGTCCCTCTTGAAGTCTGGGCTTCAGCTCACCTGCCCTCTCCTTGGCCCCAGAGTTTCTGGATGACGTCACGATGGATGCCTGCAACAAGCACAGCCAGCTGAACTGCTCCGTGGCGCCCACTCTCTTCCTCGAGTTCCATGGTTCTGAGCAGGTCCTGGCCGAGCAGCTACAGCGAGCAGGTGTGCTGGGGTGCTGTGGGGTGGAGGGCACAGGCTGGTCCCGAGTAAGGTCGCGTGTCAACCTGCCTCCCCCCGCAGAGGAGATCACCCAGGACAATGGAGCCTTCCACTTCTCGTCGGCCAAGGAGGCTGAGGAGCGCAGCCGGCTCTGGGCAGCGCGGCACAGTGCCTGGTATGCAGTGCTGGCCCTGCGGCCGGGCTACAAGGTGAGCTGGGCTGGGGTGGAGGCGGCACCCGCAGGCCGGGCCAGCACCCTGTGCTCGGCCCACCGCACTGCTGTCCAGAGCAGCAGGCTGAGACCCACAGGGGGCAGGTGTGCCCCAACCCAGCTGCTACTCAGACACTGTCCAGTGGGAGAGTAGTTGTCTGCCAGACCCTCCAGAGGGAACCCCCACCTGAGCAGGGCCCTGGGCACAGGCACAGAGAGGGTGCGCTTAGGGTTTGTGAACACGGAACAGAAGCCGCCTGGAGAAAGATGATGACGCGGAAGGTGTCAGCCGACAGCAAGGGGAGGCTGGGCTCCGGGAGCCGGAGTGCAGACTAGGCGGTGTGGGCAGCTGGGGGTCCTGCATATGGGGCCAGGCGGGGATCGGAGGGGAGGGCTGTGAAAGCCTCTGCAGGCAGGGCAGAGAGCCCCCTCTGGCCAGCTGTCTGGTGGTACAGGCCTAGACAAAAACAGTTTCTGTGGGTGAGGCCGTTCTTAGCCTTGACCACAATGACCTCTTACCTCTGAGCCAGCAGGGGGTGGGGGCGTGGAGAACCTCACAAACCTGCCCCAACCTAGGGCTATTCTACCGACGTGTGCGTGCCCATCTCCCGGCTGCCAGAGATCCTGGTGCAGACCAAGGAGGACCTGAAGGCCCAGGGACTCACAGGTCCGCATGCCCGCTGCTGGAGCGCCGTGGGGGTGGGTAGCGGGAGGGCTGGCCCGGGGCAGCAGCTCTGTCGTCTGGGCCCCCAGGAGCCATCCTTGGACACGTGGGTGATGGCAATTTCCACTGCCTCCTGCTGGTGGACCCAGAGGACCCCGAGGAGCTCCACAGGGTCAAGGCCTTTTCAGAACTGCTGGGCAGGTGAGAGCAAAGCCCAGGGAGGGCGGCTGGGAGGTGGTGGGAGGAACACTGCTGAGAATCTCTTCATTGCCACCTCCCCCTGCTCCCAGGCGGGCACTGGCACTCCATGGGACATGTACCGGGGAACATGGCATTGGGCTGGGCAAGCGCCAGCTGCTACAGGAGGAGGTAGGTGCCGTGGGCATGGAGACCATGCGGCGGCTGAAGGCCATGCTGGATCCCCGAGGCCTCATGAACCCAGGCAAGGTGCTGTGAGGGCCTGAAAGCACTTGGCCCACAAGCCCCCAGACAGTGGAACCTCCTGTTCTGGAACCTTTCTTCTTGCCACAGAACAGTTCCGCCTCTGCCCAGAACTGCAGGGGGCTTGCCTGCCTTCCCCTTGGTCTGAGCCTCGCTGCTGCTGGGGGCCAGCTCCCTTAGCCTGACTCCACGTGCCTGGTGACAGGAACACTCCTTTCCTGGCGTGGGAAGGGATCCCCCACTCTACGTTGATAGGCTTCCCTGGGCCCCTAAAGCAAACCAGAGCCCCATTTGCAGCAGTGTGGAGATGAGCAGGCAGCCCCTATGCGTGGCCTCCTGTGCCCGCCTCCCTCCCACCCCCGTCAGGTTCTCTGTCCTGTGGCCAGTGATATCCTCAGCCCTCATTCTGGGCCTGTCCTTGGACATACGGCAGCCTGGGGAGGGGATGGTGCTTAGGCTACAGAAGGTTGCTTTCAGGGACCCAGGTCCCTGTCCCAACTGCTGTTTGTGAGAAGCCGAGAGCCCGAGGATTTGCCCATGGTCACCATGAGCCTGGACCGGGCCCAAGAACATTCTGAACATGTTCTTCAAGCGGCTGTTGCCAATCAATGGAAATGGAAGTGAAATTATTCTGCTTGTATTATACTTCTCTATGGTGTGGTGTATTACATTACTAGCTTCCCCCCACCCCCAAAGTCAGATCTGCCCACCCTGGGGATTCCTGGTGAGACCACTCAGTCCGTGTACTTCAGTTGTTCCCAAGCCCACAAGAGGGCGCCCACCACCATGGCATCTGCTCTGGGCAGAGGCACCCAGGACTGCCCTGTCCAGGGCCTACAGCTCTCTGCCCTGGGGACCCCTACTTCCCCAGGTTGAGGTGGGGGGAGGCTTGGTGTCCCAGAAGCCAATCTCTAAATCCCATCCCAGGAGCCTATCATGTGGGCCCATCTCCCTCACCCCCTTGGACTTGGCCTCTGAATAAAGATGAGCGAAGCAGGGAAACCAGTGGGACTCTCCATCTCACCTCACCCCTACTCTCCTGAGCCACCACTGAGCTCCTTCCCTGCCTCCACCCCACAGGCCCCTCCCACCTTTCCCCATCAGCTGTCTAGGCTCTGGGCAGAGGCCGCCCTTCTGGGACTCCTCAGCCCAGCATGATTCTCAGAAGCCCCTCCTCACTGGACTGAGCCCCATTTGCTCCTCCGTGACATTTCTAGCCCTGGGCTGTGAGCACTGTGCCAAGGGCTGGTGTGGGGGCAAGCCTCATTGCCTCTCCCCAAACCACCCCGGTACAGGAACTACCTAAGTGTTAGCTGCATGCATTCTGGACAAACAGCTCTCTAGTACCCACCCCCACCCCCCCGCCCTGCAAATGGACTGCCTCACCCCCAAGCCCAGGGGAGAAGCCTGCAATGGAGGCTTCTCCCCTTACTGGGCAGAGATCTACTTTGATGAAAGAACAAACACACTGTTCACTGAAATACCAGCCCCTGAAGATTCAAGTGACTATTTTTGCCTTATTTTCTTTGTGTGTGTACTTTCTGGAGAGCCATCTGGAGTGGAGTTACACACTTCTTGGCACCATTTACCTGCAGAATTCAGCACCTATCTCCTAAGCATAAGGACCTTCTCTTAAAAACCTCAACACCGTTGAAGGGCTACTAGATGGTCTTAGTAAGGTGCAACTGCCCGGGAAGCCCCCCTCCCCCCTCCAAAGCGTGCTGAGCCCTTAGCAGAGAGAGGGGGATGGAAGTCACCTTGAGATTCCAGCTGACTCCCTGCCCGCCCAGAAAGAGAGACAGGGGCCTGGAAGGAGCATGACAGAGACCAGGCCTACCTGGGAAGCTGGGACTAGCCTGTTCCACCCCCGCCCGAGGGGCCTGCAATCCGGGTGAATTCTGGAGGCCAGTGCAGCCAGCAGAGGGCTGCCATGTGCCGGGTGGGAGTGGAAGTCACTGGGGGGTGGGGACAGGCACCAGCCCCGGGAGCCTGGAATAGGGCCCGCCGGGCGTGGGCTCCAGCCTGCCCCACTGGGTCACGACCGACCGTTTGGCTCACCCAGGGCCAAGCCACCAAGGTGGTCATAAAGGCCTCTGCCTACAGGCCCAGGGGTCAGGCAAGGAGATCTTCGGGGCCGGCTTTGCTGGAGGAATTAAATTTAGAACAGGGAGACACAGTTGCCAGGCAGAAGCGGGAGGTGCTGTGAAGAGAACAGTGCTCTCTGCGATGACAGAGCTATGAGGGAGCCTGCTACGCATGTGCCAGGGGCTTCCGGGCACATTCTCTGACCCTCACGGTCACCTCCCAGCTGTGTGACTGTCCCCACTCACATGTGATCGAAACTGAAGTTCAGAAGAACAAAGTTGTTTCTCTGAGATCATTCTGCCCAACAGAGGAGCCCACATGCAGACCGTTTAGAGCTCATGTTCTTGTCACCGTAGCGACGGTCGGTCCCCGGGGTCCCCACCATGATGCTAAGGCCCAGGCTCAGACCCACAAGGTCTTCTTCGGCGTTTCCGAATGTGCTGAGCGTGCCTGTGCCCCAGTTCACGTTTGCCCCCTGGCCTGCAAGGCCCCTGCCCAGAGTAGGTGCTTTAGGAAGCATCATCTGACAGATGTTGGACAGCCCACCGAGCACAAGAGGGGCCCGAGGAGGGGTTGGAGCAGAGAAGCTTGAGGCATCTCCCTCCGGAGTTTTCCTTCACAGGCTCTGCAGGAGGCTCCGGAATGCTGCTCCAGGAGCTGGTCTGGCCCGGGGACAGAGGCTGGGCATGCGCCACTCCCCCTGCCCTGAGCTTCCCGCCCGGCTTTAGGTGTGCCAACTCTTGTGAGCCCTGAGTGGCTGGTTCCAGTTCAAGGGCTCTGAGCTGGCTCGGCCCCAAACAGGGCCTCTTTCTGGGCCTCAATGAAGCATGCCCATGAGTCAGCACTGAGATGTAGACTGAGCAACAGGCAGGGCAGGACAGGACGTGGGATGGGGAGCGGAGGATGAAGGAAGGCAGGGGTGGGGGTGGGGGAGTGAGGGGACTGGGCCAATACCTGGAGGAATCCGCATCCTTGCAGCCTCCGCTGGCTGCGCGATCTCTGCCCCCGCAGATCCTTCCTGAAGAGTTCTGTCACAGCCACGCCACAGGTGATGGCAGATGGACTCCATGATGCTTGGGAGGGTCAGTAAATCTGAAGGACTCGGGTGTGACCTGCCAGGTCCCCCTGCCCAGGCATGACTGCTCTGAGGACCACTTCACACGCCTGCAGCGCCAAGCCTGGAGGAAGTTGCTAAGGATGTAGGTGAGGGAGCGGGGGACAGGCCTTCAAGCCCCATTTCCTGGTCGTGTAACAATTACCTCAGCAAAATAAAGTCACACAGTGCATCTTTTATTAGACATTTTAATACCATATCAAAACACCTTGACTAATGAAGAAAGCTTTTTCTCCAAGCTTTGAACATTTTTTTTAAACATTTTATAAGGTTTTTTTTTTT